GAATCCATGAACACCTCACAAGTCTTCCAGTACATTAGCTTGCTTTTGTTTATGGTAACTTGAATTAATTTATGTTACTTAGAATCTAAAAAAACCTTGACCAAAACACTGGCATTGCTTGGTTATTCATTCAGGCATTCATTATCAAGCACAGATTGACTCTCTACTCGTCCTCACTCATTCATTTATCATCAAATATTAATTATCTAGTCCATGCTAAGTGTTAAAGATAAAGAGAAGTATAAAACTCAAGGACAGGTGCTAAGGTATTTACAAGTTAGAGGAAAGACAGATGTACATTTTAATAATAACAAACATTTATGGTATGCTTGCCATGTGCCAAGCAATGTGCTGCATACTTTGTGTGCACTTTTATGTCATTTAAGTCTCATAACAATATTATGAGGTGGATACTACTATTATCCCCATTTAATAAAAAATGAAACAGTCTCTGGGAGGCAGTCACTTGCCCCAAATCATCCAGGCAGTATGTTGTGGAGCTGGAATTCCAATCCAGGTAGTTTAACTCCAAAGTCTATGTTCTTAGACTCTACATGAAATAACTGTAGTACAATGTTGTAAGTCCCAGAACAGGAGACAAACATACAACAGGGAGACATGAGTACCATGAGGGACAAGGGGTGCAGATTAGAAAAGGATTCACAAGGAGAAGAAAATTGAGCCAGATATTGAAAAACATGAGTGCAAGTTTGTTGGACCCAAAGGGAAAAGCCATTCAAAGGCAGGAGGTGGCATAGCACAGACATTTCAGAAGCTGGGAGGTTAGCACATGGTCATGGTGGAAGGGAGTGCACTAGTGGAACAAGAAGACATGAGGAGGTCTACAGAGATCAGATTCAAATTTCCTCATAGCTTTGTCCTACAGGTTGATGTTCCTTTATGTGGAAATGAGGAATCAGGAAAGAGTTTTAAAGAAGAACATGACATGATCATTGGCCACAACGTGGGAGATGGATCTGGAGGCTGGGTGATCACCGAGGAGCCTCTGAGAGATAAAAAGAATCAGAACCACCACAGCAGGGACCCCGAGGAAGAATCCAACTGGAGAGATGTTTGAAAGTTAGAATTGATAGTGACCCATTAGATGTGAGGGTCAACCAAGATCCAATTTACTTTAATTTGAAGATATATCTCCTATCTGCACCACAGAGAATAAATGTTAAGAATGCCTAATACTGGAAAGATTAGATGCCTTACAGGGTCTCTAATTTTGTTGGAGGGAAAATAAGCAATCCTGATGGAAAAGAGCTGACACAACCCCAGAATGTTGAAATCCCATCCTCCTTAGCTGTCCTAGGCACCATATTTTCATCTTAAAGAATTAGCAACCCCCGGGCTCGGTGGCTCAGCCTCTAATCCTGTACTTTGGGAGGCTGAGGTGAGTGGATTGCCTGAGCCCACGGGTTCAAGACCCGCCTGGGCAACTTGGCGAGACCTCATCTCTACAATAAAAAAAAAATCAGCCTGGTGTGGTAGTGCACGCCTGTAGTTCCAGCTACTTGGAAGGCTGAAGTGGAAGGATCGCCGGAGCCCAGCATGTCGAGGCTGCGGTGGCCGGGAGCAGCCACTGCACTCCAGTCTGGGTGACAGAGTAAGATTCCAACTCAAAAAAAAAAAAGAATTAGCAAACATAAAGTGTTTCTTCTTCATGTGCTTCAGAAGAAGAGTAAACTGGGAAGTGAGCAAGTTTGCCTGATTCCTTTCCTGTCATGCTCCACGCTGCCCATCATTCCTTTCAGCTTTTGGGTTGTTTTCTGCTTGACTCATCTCTACTATAACGGTGACTGTCATGCCTTCCAACAGCACAGGAACTGGAGAAAAGGTGTTGAAGACCAAAATACCATCAGCATCCAAAAACTAAAATGATACCTTCTGTCACGGAGGCAGTAGGTGGATGGAAATGTTTGCCATGTTTGTCTTGAAGTCCTTTGATTACTTTGTTGTCCACAAAACTAAAAAAGCCTTATATATTTTAAGCTGAGAGGAGCCATCCTGTTTAACCTTCCCAGTTTAGAAATAGAAAGTTTAGAGACAGAGATTGAGCCTTTTATCTCTCTGAATCCAGGTTCTTTCACTCAAGTGCCTTTTCAGGTCTTTAGTCTGAGTATTAGAGAATAAGATGACATATTAAAGACCTGGCAGCCAATGTGGCCCACACTCATGTATTGTTTGGCACAGTGCTTTACATTTTTTAAAAATTTGAATATTTCAAGATGGGTTATTCATTTTTCAGTTTGAAAAAGCACTGCCATTCTCTGTGGTCTTACAACTGGCCCAATTCACACATCCAAGTTACTCACCTGGCCTATGTAGGAATGTGGGGTTTTGTATATAAAAGTAAAATACATGAAGTACAAGTCATAATGCCATGGGTTTTGTCCTTCCTGTTACTTCCTAGATGCTTATCTCTGCAGAGTTGGAAGGCCCATATCAACTGATGGATGTAGGGTCCTTTGTGCAAACTGTTAAGTGTGATGCTCCTGTGAGCCATTGTAAAGTATGTAACACTTAATCACTTCAATGCAGATACAATGCCATTACTCTTCCTTTTCTTGGGTCACACTGATGTCAGAGTTCCAGTTAAACTTCCCTAGTTTGGCACAGTGAAGTTCTCTCAGAGGGTGAGGACCTCCATTATGCACAAATGAAGGATCTACAGTCTTCTGTAAACATCTTCAAAATTCCTCAGACCCCCAAGAAAGGACTTGAATGTACAGTTTCTAGTACTTGGTGACCCAGAGTAAGTTTCTAGGACTATGTAATATATGTACTTTGTATTTGTTTTATCTCTATTTTCTTAATCTTGTTTCTCCTCTATTTTCTCAACTACTTCTAGTATATGTAAACCTGTCAACTTGTGAATCTTTATAAATTGTTTTGAATTCTTTGTGGAACAAAATAGAATATAATAAATGGTTAGATTAGTTCATATGAAATTTCTGTTTCTGTAGATCAAAATAGTTTTTAAAAATCATCAATTTCACATATTTATAGTGCTTCACTAAATACACTTTACTGCTATAATTTCTCCATAAACCAAGCTCTTGAGGATGTGCCAGTTTCTGTGGAAGAATTATAGGACAGAGAGGCAGGATACCTGGATTCTAATTCCAGCTCTACTACTAGGTACCTGAGTATTTTTTTATTTTATTTTATTTTATTTTTGAGTCAGGTTCTCACTCTGTTGCTCAGGCTGGAGTGCAGTGGCATGATCCTGGTTCACCACCAACTCCTGGGCTCTAGCAATCTTGTGTCAACCTCTCAAATAGCTAGGACTACAGGCATGCACCACCACACCCAGCTATTTATTTTTATTTTTTTGGTAGAGACAAGTTCTCACTATGTGGCCCAGGCTGGTCTCGAACTCCTGGGCTCGGGTAATCCTCCCACCTTGCCTCCCAAGTGCTGTGAGTACAGGCATGAGCCACCCTCCCTGGCTGGTACCTGAGTAATTTGAGGCAAGCATCATTTTTCTCAATGAGTAGAATAACCCCAGACCTACTTTACAAAATTGTTATAAGGATCAAATGATAGACAATATGTAAACACTCTCTATAAAGTCCTGTAAAAAATCTAAAAGATTACTATATACCGAATTAAACTCATTCAGAATTCCTACCACTGAGACCCGCTCTGTGCCCAGCCCCCTTGGAGTGTGCTGCCAAGTGTCCCTTGCCAATTTCCCTCCTCTTCCAATTACCTGCTCCCTTCATTCCAGCCCCAGTCTCCCAAACGCAATTCCCAGTTTGCTGAGTATCACATGCAAGATCGCCTTGGCCACCTTTGCCCCACACTTCTGCAAGGAAAATATTATTATCTTGATTTTACAGATCCTTAAAATCTGAAGTTCAGACATATTTAGTAATTTTGTCCAGGGTCACAGCTTCGAGTCAAACTCTGTTCCTCTGATCTCAATTTCAGAATTATTTCGCATAGGAAATTCCACTCAAGCGCATCTTCCCACTGTTGCAAGCTGGCACGCAGTTTAAGGAGGCAGCCATGCCATTTGCCGGTCCTGTAAACTTGGGCAAGTGACTCTGCCTCTTTTGCTTCAGTTTTCTCATATGTAAAATGGGGATAATAATAGTACCCAAAGTTGTGGTGTACTAGCTTAGCACGAGGCCTTGGCACATGGTAAGTGCTACATACATGTGAGATTTTTGCAGAAATATGGGTGCACCTTCCAAGACCCAGCAGGTCACACCCTTGGGTTGTAGTATCCGCGGAAGCTTGGGGGCTATCTTTTTATACTCCGCCTCTTCCTTCTGCAGTCACGGGAAGCAGTTAGAAGCAGATCAGAAATTGAACTCCACGTTTGCTCTTACGATTTGAGAGCCCTCTCTCGCGCGGAGCTGGAAGCGGCGGGACCCAGCTGCGATCGCCGGGAGCGAAGGAAAACTGCTGTTCCTGGCTCGCCGCGCACCTGGGCAGGCCAGACGCCGGCGCTGTCCGAGGTGCTGAACCCCGGGGCTCCGGCCGCGCGGGCACCGGCGTCCATTAATGCCCCCGTCTGGCGGCATCTTCCAGAAGGCCGAGTGTGGGGGTCAGGTGAAACCGGGGCGGTAAGTGATTCTCCCGTTACTTCATCCTCTGTACAAGGCTGTGCACATTTTCAGGATCACAGCCTCTCACTGTCCGTTCCCCCAAATGTTTCTACAAAAACCTAAGGCTTTGCAAATCCCTCTTCGGTCCATGCAAAAAAAAAAACCCAGACACCTATCATCACCCAGCCCGCTCCACAACCATTTCCAACAAAAATCCAGGTCCCTACGCATCTCTTCCCCACGCGTCAATGTAAAAATTTTTTAAAAAATGTTAAATCCGCCTTCCGTTCCCGTCTCCCACAATTTCCTGTGATAAAAGCAGCCTCTCTCCCACCAGTCCCGCACTCCTGCCTGTGGCTGGACAGCACGGACTTACTTCTCGGGAGATCCAGGTCCCACCCAGGTGGCCAGTGGGGAACCCCGGGGTGCGCTTACCTGGTGGCGAAGATCACCGAGCGAGGCCACCTGGGTCCAGGCCATGGGTAGCGTCATTATCCATAAAGCCACAAATCCGGGGGCGTCTCCCACCCCCGCCGGCGGCTGCGGCTTGGCGGCTGGAGGACACAGCCAGGCTGAACCCGCGGCGGGAGCCGGGGCTCCCCTAGGCCTCGCGGGTCCTAGGGAGTCACTTGTCCAGAACTTCTCCAAGGTTCCTAAATAAAACCTCTGCGTCAGTTCCTTCGAATCACTCCCTGCTCCTCAAGTTGCGGTGGGAACAGGGCAGTTTTTTGTTTGTTTTGTTTAGTTTTGGTTGTTTGGTTTGGCTTGGGTTTAAAAGAAAGAAAGAAGCACGAAAGGAAGATCAGAAGCGCCCCTGGCCCCTAGCCGGGGGTCTGCAGATCTCCGGCACAGCCCTGGCCCTCCAGCTCCGTCTTCCGCCGGCTCTGCTGGTTGGCGAGGCGCTGCTGCCCGCTGGCGCCCGGCAGTAGCTCTCCAGCCGCGACGGGAGAGGGCTGTGTGGGTGTGTGAGCCGCGACGAAGGAGGAAGGAGGGGGTAGCGGGGGTGGGGAAGGGCCTACCTGCCGCGAGAAGAGGCGCCCGCCGCCCCGCCCCCTCGTACCTTGCTCTCCGGGGAGCAGGCTCGCCGCACAACTTAGCAGGAGCCTGCTCGAGCACCCCCTCCCCAAGCTGGGCGCGGACCGGGTGCGGCGACCCATGGGGTCTGGAGAGGTGAGGGGACGCTCCCCAAGTCTGACACTGCGGGTCTCTGACCCGGGCAGGGATTCGAACTCGTAACGCCTGTGCTCTTTCTGCGGCTCTGCCTTCCTAGGATGTGTGCGGCTCTGCGCTGGGATCCCAAGATGTCTGTCCAAGGGTGGGCAGTGTGGGAAGGAGAGGGGGAGAAGAGGGTGCGAACGCGACCCTTGGGACTTGGGGGGAACCTGATGACCCGTGCCGGCTTCCACCGGCGCACGCCGATGGGTCTCATTCTGGCTCCATATTTTAGTCCACCTCCTATCTATTCTCAGGACTTCCGTGAAGTCATTCGCCAACAATTGTTTCCTTTTTACAAAGTAGTTCACGTCGTTGAATACAGTTGAAAGCACACGGTCTTATATTTAGGAAGTGAGTGGTGGCCCCTTCCGCCCCCGCCTCTGATGACCTTCCCCAACTGGTCGGTTACTCAGAGGTAACCCGTATTTTTATCTAGATATAAATATATGCATACAGGGTTCAATTTGCCCTATTAAAAAATTTTTCCTACTCCTTGAGTCAATTACAGAAATTTTTATTTTCCTAGAAAATTGTTCGTCTCTTTTACATTTTCAAATTTTCTGGCACAGTTACAAATACTGTGGCCTTACAATTTTTAAAAATCTCCCTTCTAATACTGTTTTGCACCTTCTTTTCATTTCTAATATCGTTTATTTGTGCTTTCTACCGATCCGTCCCCATTTTTTAAATCAAGCTCTTGGAGGATTATCAATTCTATTGATCTTTTAAAAGCAAAAATAATGTTCTGTAACTTGTCTGTGCCACTTAATGTTTTTATACTATCACTTATGGAAATGTATCCATGTAGTGCCCATTATTTGTAATAACTGCATAGTGTTTATGGTTCCCCCCCCGCCCCCACCGAAGCAGTTTCAAGGTTTGTGTAGTCAAAATTGTATGTCTTTTTCATAGCTCCTAGATTTCCCATCATGTTTAGGGAAGCTTCCTACCCCAGAATCACAATAATTCCCTAAATATTCTAGTAATTTATTGCTTTTTTGTTGTTTAGATTATCAATTCATCTAAAAATTATATTTGCATATAGAATGAGATAAGGATCTGACAAAATTGAGAAACCAATTCTGAAAAGTCTATTCTTCTCTTACTGATTTGAAATGCCACCTGGAATGATGTACACATCATATTCCCCAAACAAATTCTTCTTGGTTACTGTATGTTCTTTAATTTAAATACACCACTGGATTGGAATCATTTGTTTATGTTAAGGTGAGGTTTATTCCATCTCTATTAATAAATAAAATCGGGGTTTTTTTCTTTTTAAAGAATGGTGGATTCTTATTCAGCTTTGGTACGAGGTTATGTTATCCTTATACAATAATTTTGGGAGCATTCTGGTCTTTCTTATACTCTGGAATATTTAAATTATCACAATAACTATTTGCTCATTCAAAGTATAACAGAACAAACTCGTAAAACCATCTGGACTTAATGGGTTTTTGAAGCCTAGATCTTTGATTATCTTTTCAAGTTCATTGATATCTGTTGGAATATTCATTTTCTGACTCTTTTTGAGTCAATTTTGAGTCAATGTATTTTCCTAGAAGAATTCCGTTTCATTTACATTTTCAAGTTTATTGGCAAAAAAGTTATAAATTACGCGCATTATAATCTTTTATTTCCTTTGAATCTTTTCTTATATCCCCTTTTCATTCCTGACATTGTGTTCTCCCCAATTATTTTTGTTGTTTATATTTAATGTTATTTCGTTGTAGCTGAATTATATGACCTACATCCTTTGCATTTTGCGGCCTATGTATATGACCAAATAAAAATATTCAGTGAGCATTTTTTCTCATACTCAAGAAGAAAAAATGTGCCTTCTGTGTTTTTTGATGTAAATAATGCAAGTAGACCTGCAAAGTCAATGTACCTTAGTACCTTCAATACCTTCACTTTGTACTGCAAGGCAATATAGTGTATTGGTTAAGAGCACAGACTCTGGAAATAGACGGTCTGGATTTAAATCCCAACTCTACCACTTACCAGCTGTGGAAGCTCTTGCAAGACAATAAACTTCCTTGTGCCTCAGTTTCCCCTCCACAAAATTGCGTTAATAACAGTATCTACTTTGTACAGCTGAGACGAGAGACAGCTGAGTTAATACATGTAAAATGTTTAGTGCAGTGCCTGGTAGGAAGTAAACACTATGCAAGTTAACTGTTTGCCTGCCTGATCTACAAGCATCCAAATTAAACTGTTAAAGTCTCCTGGGATGCTTGAATTATTTTTTTTCAGCAAAAGTTTTTCTGGGTCTGGGCTATGTAACCTGGGGAATTTATTCTCCATTGGAGTGCTAGAGATTCAGCTGTAAACAAGACAGACACACACTCTCTGTCTTTGTGAAGCGGTCTTCTAAAGACTTCTCAGCATCTCTTTGGGTGTGTGTATGTGTGTGTGTGTGTGTGTGTGTGTGTGTGTGTGTGTGTGTGTGTCTCAATCAACACACACTGTTCCATAAAGCAAAAGGCTTTTTGCGACTTATTCCAAGTCTGCTTTCTGATAGGTATCTGAGCCACTTCCCTGGAGATGTACCTTATATGCTAGGCCCTCTTGATTAATGACAACAAAAACAACAATGCTTCTTCTAAAATAATTGCTAATACTAGCAACAAAAGTTTTGAATACTTGCTGTTATCAACGCCCTCTAGCTGAAGACCATTGGGAACCCATCTGAAGTTGAATCATTTATTTGTTGCAGTGAGAGTGGACATACATCATGGGGAATCATGGAGGTGTCTCAGCTAAGAGGGTACTAGAAAGAGCATGTGCTAGAATTTGGGTGTAGTTGGGTGAATTTGGGAGATTTGTCCCCCTCTCACTTAACACAGGCATTTGGATCAGAAGAGAATCCCATCAAATGTTATTCATATACCAAAATGAAAATTGCAAAGTGATCCTTGGTGCCATGGTTCCCTCTGCATTCTGTTTTAAGTCAGTGAAAGTAAAGTGTTTGTTTTTCATTCTTGAGCAGTTTCCTTGCACAGAGTATATTTGCAGTCATTGTCCATAGGAAGGAGAAAGACAGACTTCTAGGTGACCACTGAGCTACTTAGAGTCTTGAGTCCTCTGAGGCATTGAATTCACACAGATTGGAAGGCTACATTCTAGAAGGATGAGGCAGCCTCCTAAGATCATATAGCAAATCAATACCAGGACCACCAGCTCTCTTGAGACCAGCACTGTGCAATCGGATGTTAATTTCATACTATTGTAAATTTCAAATCACTTTTACTGGATTTTTATCACAATGTGTTCCGGGTATATTCTAGAAAATAGAGATAAAATATGAACTTATTATCTCCATCCTTCTATTCTACTTTTTCATTTTAAACATGAGTTTCTGTCTAATATTTTTTATTGCAGATCTAAATTAGCTCACAATTTCTGCAAGTAACACAAAATCCCATCTTAAACAAAGAGGGGCTTCTTTTCTTCTTTTAATTATAGTAAGAAGAGTTACTCTGAAATTTAACCTCATAACACATTTTTAGGTGTATAATTAGTATTGTTAATCATAGGCACAATGTTGTACAACTGATCTCTAGAGGGGCTTTTTTTAAACATAACAAAAAGTCTTATGTGGGTGGGCAGTTGGTGATGATAATTCAGAGATTCCAAACTTCCAAGACCGGCAGTCATGCTCATGGTCTTTTCCTTGAATTTTGCTAGAAGTCTGCTAACAACTCCCAGTATGGCATCCACATTCCAGACAGGAAGAATGGAAGTGGGGGGAAGTGGAGCTGGTCACATCAGTCCCTTTCATCAGAAGAGCAAAACATAGACAGCAGTGCATCTACCAGCTGACTTATTTTTTGAATTTTTTTATTAGAAATGGGTCATATGCAAAAGATGTTGGGAAAATGGAAAGCAAGATTGTTGTGACTGACTGAGGCCAAGAAATGACTCCTTTCCTAGGCCTGATCTAATGCCATCCCCAAACATAATAAAGTTCTGATAGCAAGAAAATAAATAAAAAATGGATAATGTGACCATCATGATGCTTGTTATTAATAATTTGGAAAACACAGATGAGCAAGAAAAAGAGACTATATATGTTTACTTATGTCATAAAAATGTAATTTACACAAATAGAATTAAATAATGGAGCACACTGTATGCATCTTGTGTTCCTCTCTTCTTCCTTTTTTAAAAAAGTCAACTATAAAGTTATCAGTTTAGATTCTATTTTTTTCTACTCTGTAATATATGATCACATCATTACATGTTATTCTTCTACTTCGTTGTTAACGGCTATATTATATTTTAATACAT